TACGTTTAAATTCATTTCATTCGCATTAATTTAGTTAGTGAGTATAAAGAACATTTATTAATCAATGGAATTAAAAATAGCAAAACAAGTTCATAAATACTTATTTACAATTACGGTTAAATTCTTTTCATTCGCATCAATCATTTTATTCAGAAAGTGAGTATAAAGAACATTTATTAATCAATGGAATTAAAAATAGCAAAACAAGTTCACAAAACAATACATAAATATTTATTTACCATTACGTTTAAATTCATTTCATTCGCATAAATTTAGACGGTGAGTATAAAGTTATTTATTTACATTCGATATAAAGTTTAAAATTGAGATACGAAATAAAACATTATATATTATATAGAAATTCTGAATATGGAAAATGTACACATTGTAATGAAAATAACACGCAGCCAGCATGGTGTCAATCATGCGACCCAGACATAACAACAAGGTGGACAAGTGGAAATAAAAATATTGATGATTGCATGAAAGCATTCCAACTTAGAGCCGATACATATGAAAAAGCAATTGAATGGATTCCATTTGATAAATTATCTGATGTTAAAGAAATCGGTAAAGGAGGATTTGGTTCTGTGTATTCAGCAACCTGGTTGGATGGCATACGAAAAGTTGATGGTGATGATTATAATTATGTAAAAGCGCGTGAATCATCCAGTGTCGTTGCACTCAAGACGTTGGTCAGTTCTAAGGAAAACAATGATTTTTTAAAAGAAGTAAGTTAATTTATTTCTTTGATAATAATTTATTGAACTAATTCATTGTTTAAACTTTAAGTTTAAAGGTCTTATGGAATGTAAATTAAATTATAATAAGCTTGCAATATATGGAATAACCCAAAACACAGAAACAAAAGATTACTTGATGGTTTTTCAATATGCTGATAATGGAAGCCTTCATAAATATTTAAGAAAAAATTTCGGTAAACTCACATGGCAGGCTAAATTGCAAACACTTGGAGATATTGCAAATGAGTTATTTTCTATTCACGAATATGCAGGATACATTCATGCAGATTTTCATAGTGGTAACATTTTGCAAGATCAACGCACTAATGAAAATATACGATCCTATATCGCAGATCTAGGATTGTCTAGAAAAGTAGATGAGAAAGTTTCAACTGGCGAAATTTATGGAGTTATGCCCTATGTTGCTCCTGAAGTTTTATCAGGAAAACAGCAGTTTACACAAGCAGCAGATATTTATGGGTTTGGTGTTATTATGGCTGAAATGTCAACTGGTCAAAGACCTTTTGATGGACTTGAATTTAGTGAGACTAAATTTGCAGTAAAAATTTGCAGAGGATTGCGGCCAGAGTTTGCACCCGGAACTCCTAAATGCTATATCGAATTGGCTGAGAAATGCATGAATTCTGATCCACAAAAACGACCTAGTGCTTGGGATGTTAATAAAACAATAAAAAATCGGCTTGAAGAAATAGCTAGTTCAGATGATAATGAGATTAAAAAGCAATTCTTAGATGCTGATAAAATTATTAAATCATTGCCGATACCAAAGCATTCTGATGAAATGTACACCAGCAAAATTATTAGCACGAAATTAATTTCAAAGGCGATTGAAGGTATTTTTAATAATTATATATTAAAATTATACTTTATTGATTTATTTAAAATAATATTATTTTGTTTATTTAGATTTGGCTCAATCTGATTCTGCTCAAATTAAGTTTGATATTACTGATGTTTAAAGCTTTGGTGCGTATATAAATAATAATCTATTTTATCTATTTTATGATTTGTAAACAGTAATAATTTAATTGTAACTTTTAAATATAGTGCACAAAAATTACATAACGTTTTATTTTAAAATTTCTTGTATTAATTTGTATTTTTATTATATTTTGCAAATTGTTATAAATATATTCTTTTTTAATAATATATATAATATTTAACAATGAGTTATCATATTAAGTTTTATTATTTAATTTTTTTGAGACTATAAATAGTGTTATATATATAAGTTAACTAAACACAACAAATAAGATAAGTATACCTTTGTTTTTTATTGTAATATAGTCAGACCTCTCTAAATGCATATTATTTGGACCAGCTCTAGCATGTGTATTTAGAGAGATATTGCATTTAGGAAGGTAAAGATCTATAGATGTAATATTAGTTGGGCTCAAAAGAAGATGTGTATTTGATGCAGTAGATTTGGTAGACACGTGTTTTGTAACACGGGATCAGGATCGGGTTCATGTAATTTATGCATTGCATGATCGATCATTGTATTATATAAATAGAGCAATGGTCTTTAGTAATTAGTTTGAGATTAGAGATTCGAATAGAAGAGACTTTAATAATAAAGAAACGTCTAAACTATAAACTTGTTCTTAGTAAATAAACCGTATCTTAGTGATATTGTATTGGTGGTGGTAGTATTTGGTATGATACTTCAGTCAGCATGTAATTAGCCAAGCGAGTGAAGTTTGGTAGTTAAGACCCGCAAATACATGGTAGTTTAAGTAACTACACAACACAAAGACCTGGTAAGACAAAGATCTTCTCGAAGTAACGTGTTGAAGTTTGTCATACTTATTAAGTGCAAGTTCAAGAAAGTTGTACTGTTGCAATTGGTAAATTCAAGCCATGGTGGCAAGTCCAAGTTGAAACTAATAGAATTAGAGTTGAGAATGGAGGAAACAAATTACCTGGTGATGTTGAAGAAAATTGTGGAAACAGTGGTATGAGAAGTAATGAAAAGCTTGAAGACTTCTCAAAGTAAAAAGAAAAAGCATATGCTATATTACACAATAAATGTTAATACTATACAGTATTAATACAGTATTACAGTATTAATAAAAACAAATATGCATTAATATGTCACCATTTACAATATGTTATATTTGTGTTATGTATGTTGACATAAAGGGCACTTGGCTTGTTTGTGTCCGTTTATGAAAGATCAAGATCATGATTTAAGTTTGAATAATAAGTTGATTAAATTATGTTATGTTGATGATGGTAAAAAGAAAGTATAATGAATAACAAGAAAAAAAATTTAAGAACAATGATAAAATAGTACAAAAAATGGTAAAAATTAATGGAGAATTTGCAGAAACATTAATTAGAGTTAGTTTAAATATAAATAAAATAAGTGTGAAGTATGCTAAAAGAGTTAGATTTATCTGGAAACGTCTAAATAAGAGAAACAATAGTCATATAGATGATGGTTGTATTGGATTTATTCATAGTGTTGAAGTTGTCATTAACGATATGAAGTTTTTTCAAAAATTCTATGTAATAAAAGATTTGTCTGTTGATGTGGTTTTTGGAATGCTATGGTTTGTAGCATTTAGATATAGATGTGAATCAATGAAGAATAGTGACAATAATATTGATTTTGTAAGAATAGAGAATAGAAATGTTGGTATGATGAATGAAAAGAACATATGTAGAAAATGACCTGAAAAAGAATATGTGGCTGATATTCATATGGTGAATAAAGAAGACCCAAAAGGCCAAGAACGTGAGTTCAATGATGTTGTGGATGTTAGATGTATAGATTTTAATAAATCAAATCAAGCAAATGAGATAAAAATAGAGTACAAATCTGTGGTATTTGATGATGATAAAACAAAGAGCAAAATTGTAAGAAGTAAAAATGATAAAAATAAGGTATTCGATTGTTATCATAAATCAGATAAGATGAATCATGTGGAAGGAATATATAATGCTGATAAAGCATTTATTATTGGACATTGCTATGAAATGGATTACATTGATGAAATGTGTAATTTTGATCGAAATAGAGTTGATGTTGAAAAGAGAACTTGTAATGAAAAAAATAAACGTAAGATGTTCGTTAATTATCAAAATATGCTGATATAGGTAATACTAACACTATATGTAATTGTAATAGTTGTTATAAAAATAGAATTGATATAAAAAAGAATAAACATAAAGCGTTCATTAATTATTAAAGATTTGCTAATAAAGATCCTAACAGTAAAGCGAATAATGTGGGACATTATTATCAGTATGGAATTGGAAAGCGAACATTGAATAGTGTGATAATATTGAATAATTATAGAATAGGTCCTACGAAGATATGTAATACAAACTGCTAATTAATCAAATGGTATGGTATTATAGTAATTAAGAATCAAAAGGCAGATTGAAATTATGTTGTATTGCATAGTGGTGAGAAAGTTGAATTTCTCAAACAATTGTATTTGGACCATATAATCGGATGTGATAGATTAATTAATGTGGTGTTTGGAAGTTGTCTTGATGTATGAAAACTTGGAGAATTGATGTATGAATCATAATGGGTCGGGAATGATTGCTTGATATCGAAGTTATGTAAACATATAAATGTTAGTATAATAATTTATATATGTTAATAGTAACTTAGTTATTTAGTATTAAGAAATTTGTTTTACAAGAGTAAGACTTCAGAACGAAGTCCTGGGAGTCTAGCTCATGACATGGTAGATTTGGTAGACACATGTTTAGTAACACAGGATCAGGATCAAGTTTGTGTAACTTACACATTGCATGATCAATTATCGTGTTATATAAATAGAGCAATAGTCTTTAGTAATTAGTTTGAGATTAGAGATTCGAATAGAACAGACTTTAATAATAAAGAAACATCTAAACTATAAACTTTGTTCTTAGTGAATAAACCATATCTTAGTGATATTGTATTGGTAGTGTAGTATTTGATATGATACTCCAGTTATCACATAATTAGCCAAGTGAGTGAAGTTTGGTAGTAAAAACCCACAAATATAGTAGTTTAAGAAACTACACAACAGTATTTAAAGAGATGTTGCATTTAGGAGTGTAGTATTTAGGGTCTGACTGTATATAACAATTAATTTTTTTTTTTTTTTAGTATTAAGGTGATCTCTTTGGCCTGGGAAACTTTTTATTAGAGTATAAATAGAGTTTTATATGTAATTACAACGATAGTATATATAGCTATACATGCATCTTTTGAGTGCCTAATTTAAGTAGTCTGCCCAAAGGTTCTACACTATCTGCCATATCTGCACCCCAACTAGGGGGGTACCCATTTAAACTATCTGGTCCTAACTACTTCCATCTGCCCCTAACCTGGTGGGTTTATTTTACCATTCATATGCTAGATTTTGGATATCACCCAAGCTAGATTTTGCTCCCTATCTTAGAACACTTAATTATCCTTGAGGTAAACCTAACATAGCGGTACATGTTCCATACATGTATTCACATGCTTGTTCCTATAACTTCTTCCTAATTAGTACATATTGACCTGCTATTCTGTATTCATATCTCATGCCACCTTTTGGGTGCTGCCATTTTACGGACGTTTCTCAAGCACCAACCTTCCTAACTAGGCGCCTATTGCATACTTCTTGCCCTTGTTTTGATTCCTAGCAACCCCAGTACCTTGCATTTAGACCGTCTTCTTATCTGGATTCTTTATCGGTCTCTCCTTTACTTCCAGCTAGCAACTTGGAAGGGTCGGTCTGCTCAGGCTTTAAATGCCTAAAGGTCACCCTTTCCTTGGTCTATATTTTCGGAACATATGTCCTTTTCCTCTGGTGTGATGACCCAGTAGTTCAGCTAGTATGTCCTCCACTATTAGAACCTGGTTGCTCAGTTCTCTGATTTTGGGCCCAGTTTGAATTCAGCTCTCTTGTGGTACCGTTGTAGATCACTACTACCTCCAAACTCAGGACTTGCCAAATAGGTTTTCAGTTATTCCAGTCCTCTAGATTTATTGCACTGAAGCTTCCATTACTAGATGGGGTGACCAAGGTTACAGATTAATTTAAATCCAACCGATAGAAAGCCGTCAACCATACACAGGCCTATTTTTCAAAATCATCACCAGTGGGATTCAAACTTTAGACCTGCCACTTGAAGAGGGTGATGACTAGACTACTACACTAAGTCACCACACCTCTCTGTATATAACAATTAATTTTTTTTTTTTTAATATTGAGGTAACCACTTAGGTCTCTGGTACTTTATTAGTTTAAACGGGTGGGCCATAGTCCGAAGACTGGCTTACATATTACATCAGTATTACGAAAGTACAACTAGTCACACATACAACTTTTGGTTGCCTAATTAAGTAGTTTGCCCAAAGTGTTAGTGCTATGCTAGGGGTTCTACACTAGACGCTATACCTATAGCCTAACTAGGAAGCTATTTATTTAAACTCTCTGGCTTCAACCGATATTATATGTTTCTTTCTAATATACCTCTTTCAGGAACACTAATTTACTGTGAAAGACCCTAAGACTTTAGCCAACAACAGAAGATATTTATCCTTGTGGTAAATCTAACAGAGTGATATATACAGTATTCCACATATGTATTTACCTGCATGTTTGGCAATTTCTTCCCAATTAGTACATATTGTCTGCCGCTATTGTGTTCGTATCTCATGCCATCTTTTGGGATGCTGCTATAACACAATCTGTATCTCAAGCCCAACCTTCCTAATTAGTCACCCATTGTATACTCCTTGCCCTTACAAGGTTTACAGTAACCCCAGTTCTCGTATTCTAGTCATTTCTTTACCAGGTTTCTTTATTGGTCCATCTCTAACTTCCAACCGGCAACTCAGATGGGTCGGTCTGCTCAGGCTTTAGATACCTGAAGGATGCCTTCCCCTTGGTTAATACTTTTGGAGCATATAGCTTTTTTCTCTGGTGCATCAACTGGTGGGTTGGTTGGTGTGTCCTCCCACTTAAGGACCTGTTCGCTGGGTTCTCCGATTTCAGGCCCCGGTTCAGATTCAGCCTTCTTGTGAAACTGTTGAAGATCACTGCTACTCCTAATTCGGGACTTCCCAGGTGGGTTCCTTGTAGTTCTACTAATCTCCAAGCTTTATGAAATCCTTTTGGTCTAGCGCCAAAAAGATCTTCCAGATACAGGCACGTACTCCCTTGGACTAGCGCCAAACAGACTCCTATGCATGCATTGGTACAACTCAGATTACAGATCTTCTAGATCTGATAATTACTACTCTGGTCACTGTAACACAGGCCTATTTATCCAAATATCAACACCATGGGATTTGAACTCTAGATCTGCCACCTGGTGGGGTGACAACTTAACCACTTCACTAAGCCGCCACACCTCTGTATATAACAATTAATATTATTATTCTTTTCTTAACATAATTTAAATTTGAAAAGATAAGCATTGGAATGTGTTTAAAATATAATTAGTTATAATTAATATTATATATAAAATTACTACTTATCACCAGTAATAATCATTACTAGTCTTAAGATTTGTTAGAGTTAGGGTTAGAAATTAGAGAATTATTTTTTAAAATATAATATATTATAGAGCTAATATAAGAGCCCAATAGGGCCCAATCTCAGCTTTTGTAAGATTTTTGGGGTTCTGAACATTTTTACTTAGAAAACCTAATCTTTGTTTACTTATTATGTTTTGAGATATAGCAATACTAGTAGTAGTAATAGCAAACTTCTATTATATATAAAAAAGGATTTTAAATAAATTTTTTTTTTCAGTATTAAGGTGACCTCTTTGGCTTGATGCTGTTTTATTAACAGTTTATATTGATATAATTATAATGATGGTACATCAAGCCATATATGCACTTTTGGTGTCCTATTTAAGTAGTTTGCCCAAAGATTCTACACTATCTGCCATACCTGCACCCCAACTAGAAGAGTACTCATTTAAACTATTTAATCATAACTATTTACAACATCATCCTGGTAACCCATGTGCTAACATCTGCTAGTCATACTGAAATTTGGAGTCTTACCTTAGAATGCCTGCATCTTATTATAGGTTTTGCACCAACTAATTACTAGCTTGCATTCCTCTGATAAGCGAACGTATAAGTATTCTTGAAATAAACCTACTAGAGCTTTCCATACCCCATTTTAGCTAGCCTAGTCCTTGCAATTTCTGAAAATTCTACTTGCAGTATAGCTTAGTAACTACTATATCTTTATAAGGTTCACTTTCTACCCTAATACCCATATTCAGACTTTTCTTTTTCTGTTATTTCCTAACCAATCTATCTCTTACTTCCAATTAACAACCTGGAAGGTTCAACCTAAGCCCAGCTCTAGGTGCCTTTAGCCCGTCTCACCTTGGTACACACTTCTGTAGCATGTGTCCTTTTTTTTCAACTTGTGGTACCTAGTTCTCCGGAGTACCTAGCTATTTTTTCATTGGTGCTGCTAGGCCTGGGACTTCCAATCCTATAGTCTGCCAGGGTAGGGCTCCCGCTACTGACTTTCCTAAAGTTGGTGACCTGGTTGGTATAGCTGATATACCTACTGCAAGTTTCAAGTTCCCCAAATTGGCAGTTTGGTTGGTAGATCCTCCCACTTAAGAATCTTGTATTGCTCAGTTTATCGGTCTCAGTTCTAACTTTCAAATTTGGTCTTTTCTGTAGCACCATTGAAGGTTTCAGCTATCTCTTTACTCAGGGCTTCCAAACAGGTATTGATTATTCTGATTATCTGAATTTTGTACACCAAAGCTCCCATTCTAGATGGTGTATCAAACAATCAATATAATGGATGATCACACCAAACACAAATCTATTTTTCAATATTATTGTTCCTGGGATTTAAACTCTAGACCTACTGCTTGAGGGTGACAACTCTACCACTTCACTAAGTCACCATATCCCTCCCTATCTTAAATAAATTTTTTAATCTACTTTTTCTATCTTTTTTAGACTTTTTGCTTATATCTTTTCTAATTACATAGATTCTTATTATTATTTTTTATTATTTTTTTTATTTAGTTAACTGCTACATCACAGCAAACTTATTAAAAATTTGTAATTTTTTATATTTATAGTTTAGTACAAGTACCGTACTATTCCGAAATTAAGCACCCCCAAAATTAAGCACTACCAAATTTTGTATAATATCTGAAAATAAGCACTCCCTAAGTATAATCATATCAGATTTTTTACTAAACAAGTCTACTGTCTGTTTCTAAGTAAAGATATTCTCCAGGCCAAGACGATTCTAATGGTGGTAAAATTATCAAAATCGATTTAGTAGAATTTTTACAATTACTTTTCAAAGTTCAGGCAATATTTACTTACATGATAACAGATCATGTAAGCAAATGTAAACAAACGTTGACTGAAATTTGAAGAGCAATTACTAAGGTTCTACTGGCTCAATTTTGGCGATTTTACTATCGTTAGAATCGTCTTGACCTGTAGAATATCTTTACTTAGAAATAGTAGGAGGGTTTACTTAGCACAAAACCTGTATTATTAATTTTTGAAATTATATCCGAAAATAAGCATCCTTTATAACAAAAAAAGAGTGCTTAATTTCAGAATGGTACGGTATATTCTTACTTCTGTATTATCTCTAATTAGTTATATCTGATCTATATTTTGTACTGCATCTCCAAATAAGAAATACCCAGATTGGCAATTACCTACTAACTTTTACTATTTTTTATAGTATACCCAATTGGAAACTAACCTTATAAGCATCCTTAGTAATGTAGCAAAAACCACCCCAATTTATTCTGTATCTTATATCACTTCCAAATTAGATTCAGAGATATTGTGCCCTAACTATTATGTTGTAGCCTAACTAAGATCTGATAACTTACCAACAATCACTTCATAATATTACATTTTACTAACAATTACTTACTAACAAGTTTATTTTACTAATAGTTTATTTTATTGAAACTCATTTTATAGACAGGTCAATATCATTAAAATTAGATCAGAATTAAAGTTAAAGTTAATATAATTTATAAAAATAGACTTGTTAGTAAAATAAGCTTTGGTAAAATAGACTGTCAGTAAAATAAACCTGTTAATGGATAATTGTCAGTAAAATATAATATCTATGAAGTGATTGTCAATAAAATAATACAGATTAGCTTAACTTGGTACTTGGGCATTATTTTTATATATTATCTGCTTTTGATAGTTTAGAGCTAGCCCCAATATCTACTTTCTATCCAATGTATGGGTCTGGCTTTAGAAAAATTTCTTTTTCCAATTCAGTTAGCCTAGAAGGGTATATTCTTATTATTAAAATAGTATTATTAGTATAAATATTTTTTTAATTTGACAGCCATGTTACGTGCCCTGCTTTATTTATATATTTGAGAATATCACTACAGATATCTAAGCTTATACAATGTTGTTTTCAACAAAAAAAACTGGAATGTGGCTTATCTAGTTTCTAATTGAGCCTATGTACAATCTGCCAAAAATAAGTTTAGTTTTGCCAGTTTGGTTCTAAACCTCTATGAGATAAAAACCCACTCTGGATCACTAATCTGGTTTATCAATCTATTATAACTATCTTTTTTTCTAACTTTCTTCTTCTAGCCTTTTAGATAGAAGAGTACTACCAAAGAACAATGGGAAATTTAAGAAATAAAAGGGAACATACAAATAAAATAAAAGTAAAACTAAACTAAATGAAATTAAAAAACAAACAAACCAAAAAAAAAAACAGAGAAAAGAAGAAAAAGGCCAGAAAAAAAAGACAGTCATGATAACATTATTTTTGCTTGTATCAGTTTCAAAAATTATTTAATATTGTATAGAATAAATCTAACTTAACACTATATATAATAATAAGAAAAATAAAAAAGAAAAAAATTGTCTAATATTACAAAATTTTTAACATGTAATTCCTCTAACCTTTTATAACACCATCATTGTTTATTTAGCAAGCAGTAACCAAATAAGCTTATAAGAGATTCTATTTTAGTAGACGTGTTCTAATTTGGAAGAAGTAAACACTGCTAATCATTTGGAGAAAGTATGCTGGGTTTCTCACTTTTTGGCCAAAATTTTTTAAAAAAAATATGATAAAGAGTATGTAATTGCAAGTATTTTAAAAAAATTTAAAGGAGTGTGTTAAAAGGCCTAAACTTTTGTTGTTTCTTCTGTATTCTTCTTTGAAGTAACAGTTTAAGCACTTCGTCAATAGCAAAAACTCTTTTTCACCACCAAGATTTTGTATTCAAGAGCACACATCTCTAGCCAATTATTCTGTATACTAACACTTTTGGCTTGCATGCTAAATGCATATTATAAAGAAGTCTAAAATATTGATCTTTAGATAAACTATGACATTAGACCACAACTCTCTAACAAGAGTTTAGTTTTTCTTCTTTAAGAAATTTTGGTCCAAGAAAAAGTTTATTAGTATAAATATTATTTTTACTTTTAAAATTTTTCATTAAAACTTGTACCTTAAAAGTGCAATCCAAATAAAAGAAAATAAAAAAATAATAATTAGCATAAAGAAACTGCAAAAAAGATCACAGAGAAGAAAAAACAAAAGAAAAAACAAAAGAAAAAACAAAAGAAAAAACAAAAGAAAAAACAAAAGAATTATAAAAAAACTATTTTTTTTTAGTATATATATACATATTTATAAATTTAAAGAAAATTATATATTGAGGCCCAAATTTGAAAATAATTATGAATAAGGGCCCAAGTTAAAAATTATTACATAGAGGAGCCCAAAAAACAAAAATAATAACAAATAAGAGCCCATCTGGTCTCTGAGTTATGAAACAAAACCAAGCTACAAGTGCAAGTTACAGGACTTGCAACTTTTCAATTTATCTCAATTTATTTTGTTGCAAAAACAGATCACATGACTCATGCAAGAATTTGACCAATCAAGTTACAACATTTAAAGAAACCCAAATTGAGTCAATTTGTAGTTTATAAGAAGCCAAAATGAGTTAACTTGAACCAATATTTAAATAAACCCAAATTTGGGTATTTTAACCCAAATTCTGGTTCAAAATTAGGTACTTGATGTTTAGTTAATCCAATTCTGGTTTACAATTTTGGATTCTTAAGTGTTGTGACTTGATTGGTCAAAATCCTTGCTTGAGTCACATGATCTGTTTTTGTGACCAAATAAATTTTGAGATAAATCAAAAAATCACAAGTCATGTGACTTGCACTTGTAGCTTGGTCTCGTTTCATAGCTCGGAGACCGGATAGGCCCTTACTTGTTAGTATTTTTGTTTTTGGGCCCCTATATGTAATAACTTTTAACTTGGGCCCTTATTCATAATTATTTTCAAACTTGGGTCCTGATGTGTAATTTCCTCTAAAAAGTTATTATATAAATAAGCTTAAAAATCAAAATAAATAAGATTTATGAACCACTGATTTACATCACTAATTTAATTCGAAATCATCCAAATCATCCTTAATTCTGAATCATTCCATTATAATAATTATTTAAAAACCTATTTACAAAAATCAAATTTAAAACCGATTTAAATCGGATTGATATTTTAAACTGAATATACGATTATAAACCGATACGATTCTAACCGCTACTCGAAACAAGTTTTTACAAACTTGTCTTTTCAATTAGTTTGTTTTTTCAGAAAAATTAGTAGCTTTATATGAGTTGACGATTTCTTCACTTGTTACTCTGTTTTAACCTATTTATACAGTAGAGTTAGTTTGCGACTCCTAAAGTAATTGCTGCAGTTCTTCATTTCTGAACTGATGATAGTAATGGATTTAATAATGGTAGCATAACGCACCTAGTATCGTCAAAATCAGGTACGTACGTAATCACTTTTTAAATTTCAATCTGAGCACAATAACAGAATTACGAGAATTTTAAAGAAATAACTGAAGTTTTTTACTTATTTATTATTTATTCATATTACTTATCAGAATTTATTACGAATTACATTCGATTCGAATATTTAAAATGCATTTATACCCAAATTCAAACTTTTTTTAAATACATGTATAAAGCTTTAAAATTTAAATTTAATGCTACCAATAAAAGGTGTTTTTGTTATGTCCACTCTAAGTTTTGGAAGTTTCTTTACTCATTCAAAATCCCTAATGTCATCTACCATTTTTTGAATAGGGTTTAAAGTTTGATTCAATGTTTCGAAGCCATGTTTTTGCTTGGGAAGATTGTTAGATTTTTCAAGACAATCAAGTGCCTAAAACATAAGCTTAATAAAGATATTAATGTAAATACAAAGATATGATAATAAAAAATTGGTTTTACACCTCATGAACAGTTTTTCTATATTTTTTCTTAAAATTTCAGATTCGGATTCACCATCTTCAGTATTCGATTTCTTATCAATCATTAAATTGACTTGTGTTTGGTTAATTAAGGTTGATGATTGAATATCTTCCTAATATTAAGTATCTAATTAAAAATAATGTTAGACTTGGAATTTTTTTTTAAAAATATATAATAACAAAACTTCTGGAAAAATGATATATTCATCTTCCTAAGAGGATTAACAAACAAGATGCTTAAAAAATAAGGGCAAAAACATGTCCAATTTTGATGATCAGTTAAAACTTTTGCATATTCTTAATGCTAACTGTTTTGAATTCTTTACACCACGATGTTAATATTCGTTTATGTAAGAGTAATTGAACCCGATGCAATTGTACTGGCAATAATTTTCGGTAAGAGCATACACCAATGTGACTCTATTGACATCGTCGTTCAAACTATATAAATTTCTGGAGATGCAGATAACGAACTTGCAGAGGCTTCAATTTATGTCATTTACTTCTAATTCATTAATTGTTTGAGAAATATCTACGATTATCTCAAGATCCATAAATATATTACTTTCTCCATAAGTTTCTCATAAACTATATGTTTAAGCTCTTCAGATTTTATAGTATTGTCTTTTTGCATACAATATCTTTTAAAATTTGTTCCTCACGTTTTCTTTTTGTTTTCATTTATGCGGTTTGAAAATTCAATGCATATTTTATTATTTTGAAATTCTGTATTTGGTTTTATAATTCAACAAGACGAACAAAGTTGTCTATTTTTAAAAATATTACAATATTAAAAGAAAAAATTCCAACGTAAATTATTATTTCAAGTATTGTAAAATAATTTTTGTGTGTTTCACACCGTGTGTAAAATCAGTTGTGTAACATCAACGGTTCATCCTGTTCCTGATTCTTGGTGTCAATACCAGGTGGTCATGGTAGCATTAACTACGGAGCTATTTGGTTCATTTAATTTCTCTGGTGTCTTCAAATTATTAAATATGAATATAAATTTCAGTATTTCAATTTTTTCGACTTCAACTTATTTTGGGTCCATAAGATTAGAGCTTCGATCCTAAATTTTCAGGGCAATTCGGGTAAAATCCGAATCCAGGTAAATCCGAATTAACTCGGATTTAAATTCAGATCAGTAATAAAATCATAATCTTTTTCTTCAAGGTACCTTATTTTCTAAGAACGTTCATTAGATACATGAAAATTTGATGACTAAGAGCGAAATATATGTATTTTTTAACAGTGAACCCAAAAATTTCGCATATATCATTTACAAATTGAGAATTAAAGTTACCAAGCGGGTATTTAACCTGAAGCATGACAAAATTTTATTACCTGAATCAGGGTTTTAAGAATCCTAAATATGATTAACTTTATTAGAATTAGAAACACTTTAAAATTGTTGGTTTTATAATGTAACGATTATCGTAGTAATTGATTATACTTTTTTTAAAAAAAAGTGCAACCCTGCTAATTTAATTTAAGCACAGTACATATACCGTATTTATCGGACGTGGGTACCCTGGGTATTTACATAGCTCAATCTTTGTACCCGGGTACTTCTACATTATATTGAACAATATATTTTACTATATATACCATACTTATGTACCGGGTATAAATCATCGTCCAGCTCTTAAAACTGGTAGAGGGTACATGCCATGAGGTACCCACGTCCGATAAATACGGTATATCTAGGATTATAATTCGAATAATCCTTATCCTCAATCCGATGGATCTATCCGTTTAAATTTACGGATAAGGATATCCACATTTAATCCGAATTGTCGGATTAATCCTTATTTGAAGGATTGTGGATCGAAGGATTGCGGATCGAAGCATTACATAAGTGAAATGCAGAGCTTTGTTTCGGTTAAAGGTTCAATGGGTGAAAGTATTAAAAAACTCATGGATTCATTATTAAAAACGTTATACAAATTTCAATAACGATGTGTCAAAATTTTTTAATGGGTCAATAACGATATACTGATTTTTTTGTAGGTCAATAACAATGACTCAAATGGGTTAATATCAATGTTTTTGCCCGAAAGCTATTTTCCCGAAAAAACATAATACTGACTAATTATTTCCTTTCAGGAAAATGGTTTTTGAGAAACTTGAGTTACATTATTGTATTATTATTAAAACAAATACTGTATATTAATTAGCAATTTACAGTAGCATTTTAGTTATTTGCAGTATTATCAGTATCAATAAAAATAAACTCGAAAATTTCAAATGTTCGTGTCAATTATTTTTTAGACGAAAGAAAATCGTGACCCAGAATATAGTTAAGGAATTTGAAACAGTGCTAGGTATATTTTAAAATTACAAGCCTGTAAACGTAGGTCTCCGCAAAATTTATTCTCTTGAGAATAAAGTACCGAACAAATACTTTACAAAATTTTTTGGTTGTGTCAGAAGCACTTATTTCATTAACGTTTTAGATTATTTTTTTTACTAGCAGAAAGAATTCTGGAAGCGCATAAATAAAATACTTTCGCTCACTGTAATAAAACTATTTTGAATTTTTTTATTGAAAAAACTAAATCGATGTTTTTGATGCGACTATGCTAAGGTGGCGTGATCTAGTTTATCCAATTAAAGACAGGATTTTGTGCGTCCAGTCATAACTGGAGGAAGATTAGGGCTCCCCGGAATTATAATGATTCCATTCCGTCTTTCGGAATTAGAATGAATTCCGTCTTTTTGAAATTATTAATGATTCGATTTTTGGAATTATAATGATTCGGGTTTCGGAATTATAATGATTCCATCTTTCAAAATTAAAATGATTCGATTTTTTGAAATTAAAATGATTTTGATTTTTTGAAATTATAATGATTCCATCTTTCGGAACTATCTTCCGGAATAATATTTGCAGCGCTTTTCATACTGTGATCAGCAGATGATCGATAATCAACGGAAATCTTTTATTTTAATACTATATCTAGTTATATGAAAATTGGGAATCTATAGGATAATATTGGGAATCTCATGCTTTTTTTTTTTTTGTTATTCATACACCCCTGCAAATTAAAAGATATTTCGACAATCACTATGATGAGCTTTTTTTTTTTATTTAAATTCTATGGATTAACAGAATTGGTTGTTATCGAGATATCATTTAGGGGTTTCAAAATTGACAGTAAATGGCGTATTTTGAAAATAAGCAGGATTTTCTTTCAATAGCATTTTTACTATGTTAAATTATAAATCAGTAAAAAATAAAATAAGATTCTCCAATTTTAATTTTGAAACTACCTATTATTCAAAGTTTTAAAAAACTCAAAACATCTATCAAAATAAAAGCTGCGCCAAAATTTTCTCAACTTTGAGCGAAGATATCTCAATTCTATTAAACTGTAGAATTCAAATAAAAAAAGTTTATCGAATTTAACTTGGAGGTTATCGAGATGTCTTCGCTCAAATTTAAAATCAAAACCGCACCAAAAATTTTCGCAAACTTGAGCGAAGATATCTCGACAAATATGAAGTCAAATTTTGATGAATTTTTTTCATTTGAATTCTACGAATCTGTAAAATTCAAATAAAAAGGTTCATTGAATTTGACTTTGTGATTATCGAGATATCTTTTCTTGGTTCTAAAAAACGTCTATCAAAGTAAAGGCTGGGCCAAAATTTTCCCAAATTTTGAACGAAGTTATCTTGATGACCATTAGGTTGTGACCCAAACTTACTAGTTCGGGATTTGGTAGAATCCCAAATAGTATTACTAGATTTTGCGAAATGCCCTTAACTTGCTATAATGTCAAACGCTTCTGATATATAAATTATATTACAGCTAGAAATCCCAAATTTTTTTACATGTAGAATTGTGTTTGGGATTCATCCCAAACAAAGAGATCGTTTAAAGCTCGGCACCTTATGAAGTCGGCCGATGACCTTAGCCAATAGGATCACGAAATTTTGACGTCAAAACACAATATACCTATAAGTCGCCTTTCTCTTAACCTGATTTGCGCACTCTTCATATAACTAACACTTCGTTCACTCTGTTTTTGATATAATTTTACCATTATGATATAGATAGAGTATAACAATATTTATTTTTTTATGCAGATCCCAAATCAAGTGAAATAGGGAGTTTAAAATTTAAACTCGTTACTTAGATATGACTTGGTGGTACTAAATGCCCGAATGACCTGAGCCACCAGAATATTGTGAGTCTCCTAGGTGGCGAATGGAGGCTTAATAATAAAGATCAATTCCAGTGTGTGTTTGTTTATCTAACATACTATGAGCAGTAGATAAATAAGCCCGTTATTGTTGGCCATGGATTGTTGTATAAGCAGGTAATTGTTGGCTCCCGATTGTTGGCATGCGTAGCCGCTATTATTATTAACCAAGACTATGGGAAATTGTTCACGGCCCGCGCACAACGCTGCTTCACAGTGTTGATAGTACCAAGAGCTTAGAAGGTTGGGATTAAAGATAGCGCAGTAGTTCTTAGTAAAGTAAAAGGTATTTAAGGCCCGAGTTTTCACCTTGGTAAAGTTTCTTCAGAATACGACGTCTTAGTTATACAGTAGAGTTATATAATAGGGATCGGATTCTCGCATGTGTAGTATTAGTTTATTAGTTTAGTTTTATTCATTGTATTCGCATTTCTTATTATTATTATTATTGTCTTGCATTTCTTGTATTATTGTTACATAATAAATTACTCCGATAATTAAAGTTGATCTATTAAGTGATAACCCCAAAGAGTTTCGTGACATCATATCACGTGTGCAAGTGTTATAAATCCCGAATCAAGTGAACCATCGGAGCTAAATTGGATTAAAATCCGAAATTGCTCTCCCAAATCGATGGTCACAGTAGTTTAAAAAAGTGGAAAGTCCACGACATGTAATACATAAATTGAAAATACAGGTAGAACAAGTATGCAGTAACTTGCACACATAAAAAAGCTTGACGAGGAAATTTAACAATCATCATAAATATTATAGGATTATGTTTCTTTGATCACAACATTTCGATTGCATTCTTCTTATTATACCATTTAAACTCATGCGTATATATAGAAATCCCAAGATAAATCATAATAATGGATTGTCTAATCAGATGTGCATTAAATATAACACTTTACTCGCCATTAATCAGTTTCTCCAAGTATAAGTTTTAACGATGTATATGAATTATGCTTGCTGTTTATTACCTGGCAACACTCAAACAACTTTTTACGTGCTATTTGGTTTAACTACATTATATTTAATTATCTGGTAATCGATCCATCCATGGTTTTGAATTGGATTCGATCTTTAGATTACCAATCTTTAAAGTCGAATTTATTGAATAATTTAAGATTATGTTATTAAATACACGATATTTATTTGGTTTTTGAGTTTAACTCTATTTATCGAAATGGGATACATATTTGGGTTTTGGTATGAACCCAAACTAGGCAGAAATATCAATTTCAAAACCCAAACTTAGTAGAAATGCGTAACTAAAAAAGAGTTTGGGTCGCAACCCTAATGACCATTAAATCAAATTCGATGGCTTTTTTTTTACTTGAATGCTTAAAATTTGTTGAATTCAAATAAAAAGTCTATCAAATTGACTTGGTGTTTATTGAGATAATTTCGCTCAAAAGATTTTTTAAAAAAAACTCAACGTCTATGAAAATGAAGATGCGCTAAATTTTTCTGAAGATATCTGATAACTATAAGCCAAATTTGATTATTTTTTTTAGAACTTTACAGATTCGTAGCATTCAAATAAAAAAGTTCATCAAATTTAACTACTTGGTGGTTGTCGAGATATCTTCGCTCAAAGTTGAGAAGATTTTAGCGCAGCTTTTTTGATAAACGTTTTGAGTTTTTTAAAACTTTGAGTGAAGATATCTCGATACACCAAGTTATATTTAATAAAGTTTTTTTTTTTTTTATCGAATTATATAGATTCATAGAATTCAAATAAAAAAATGTTTGTCGAATTTGATTTGGTAATCTTCGTTCAAACTTCAAAAAAATTTAATTTACAGGAAGATATATTAGATTTGCAAATTTCCAGGTTTCCTTATGTACTGTACAGTATTTGAAAAGCGCTGTAATATGTACTATTTGAATTATCTTCTTAGCTTTGCGGAAATAATATACAGTAGGTCGTTAATAGGAATTTTCATAGTATATCGCAAATTTAGTTTCTTACTATAATAGACTATTAACGAGGTTTTACCGAGGTTTTTTGACGAAATACGAAAATTTTGTATTTTGTCAAAATCCTCGTTAAATCCTCGTTAATAGTGCTAGTACAGTAAGAAATTAAATTTGCGATATACAGTATTATAAAATTTTCCTATTAATGACCTATATTATTAATAATTTATAATAATTAGAATGGTTTGTCGCTATCGCAAAAACGTACTACGTTTTTGCGATAGCGATAAAATATTCTAGATTTAATGTAAATTATTGATAATATAGGTCGCCAAGAGGAAATTTTCGTAGCAAATCGCAAATTTAGGCAAATTTAGTTTCTTCTAGCACTATTAACGAGGTTTTAACGAGGTTTTTTGACGGAGTATGAAAAATTAGTAATTTTCTATACTCCATCAAAAAACCTCGTTAAAGCCTCGTTAATAGTGCTAGTAAGAAACTAAATTTGCCTAAATTTGCGATTTGCTACGAAAATTTCCTCTTGGCGACCTATATTATTAATAATTTACATTAAATCTAGAATATTTTATCGCTATCGCAAAAATGAACGATTTTAACAAAGTAAGATTTCCGCAAAGAAGAGGAGTTGAATGGTCTAAAAAGAATTACCTAGACTACAAATATCGCATTTTAATAAAACTTTTTTAAATCGTCATTAGGATTCAATTATTTTTTAATAAAATATATATTTAATATTATATATATATTACAATTCTTTTTTTAAACAAAATATCTAAATTAGACTAATTTAATATCAAAAAATGACTAAGCTTGGCCAAATAAATTTGGATTGGTTATTTATACGTATCTTCCATGACGTACGTACATACACACCTTTTATTTATTTTTAATTTATTTTATCTTTTATTCTGTTATATTTTGTTCCGGCATCATCCTTACCTTATATGTATATAACCCACGTTCATTATCGTTATTTGGTTATTTGTAATTTGTGCCAAGACTTGTAGGAACCTGTTGGGAAGTTGTCTCAATAAGATTCACATGGATCTACGATTGCGCCCAGACCTAAATTGAAAATCATAGCGAATGTGTCAATTAAGGTGGAATGTGTGTAATTAAGGACGATCTCTGCCCTATAAAAAATCGTGCACGGAATTTATGGTCAAACACGAGTACGTGATAGTACGAGAGTATATAGAACTATATGGAATATAACACGAAATGGTGCACGAGAAAACGTGCGCTGGACACGTAAAAAAGCGCGAATTCGTGCAACGTAATAGCGTGCTTTTTTACGTGCTTTCCCGTGCAATTTTCTTTATAGTTACGTATGTAGCCGTTTATTATTTCGTGCACATAAAAAAATTTCGTGCAATTTCGTGTTCATCGATTTTGCGTGTATGCAGATTCCGTGCAGCTGATCTGATTTCCATGCTTTGGGCGTGCTATATTTGACGTTAGTAGCTCACCCACAAAAAATTTTCCGGTCATGTGACTTTTTATTGCACTAGCCAATTATTTTTCGAGATCAGGTGTAACGTGAAAATCAAAACAATCAAAACAATCGAATAAA